AGATCAAGCACCAGCAGTTTCACAGTAAACCTACCCCTAACCTGTAGCAGGACAAAAATCAAGCCATATACTTCCAAGTTCCATCCGCCTGGTGCTTAGGCGTGCACCAGCATTCCTTTCTAGGCACTCAGTACGTAGTACTTCCTTCATTTAAGGAGGAAACAAAGGATTAACTCTAAGATTAAATTCAAAGCCAAATTTTGGCCCACCCAAATAGTACAAAATCAGTCCTAACTTTTCACTCAGTTATATCCAAAATGACAGAATTAAATGGAATCTGAATTTATGCTGAGCCTGTTATTTAATAATTATCCAGCTAATATCTTACCAATCTAAAAATGTCTATCCACTGTAATAAGAGAACAAAGAGAAGATTTTTTAAAATATCCAATAAAAGCGGGATGTACACAAGCCACAGACTAAACACTCCATTTCCTGTGTGTCTGTCCACTCCTCAGGATAAACAGCAAGAATCTATGAGGAGTCCATGACCTGCTGTGGACATCTGTGGCCTAGTGTCAGTGGAGTTACCCCCTAGGTAGAAAGATTTCAACTTCAAAGTAAATCTGACCTATTTCCTCCCAACGGTTAGCATATTGTATCTTTTAATAAATACAAATTACCAAACAGAGAAAATTCATTTAGTTCTTTAATTTCCACTTATAGCTATGAACTATTACGTAGGTAAACAAACTATTATGATAATTACTCACCAAACCAAGGAACTTACATTCCAGGCTTAATATTTTGTCAAATATTTCTATGAAATATCTATAGAACCTCAAAGAACAGAACTAATTTCATTCTGTATGCATCTTCAAAAAACCAGAAGATATAGCTTGGATCGTAAATGTTCCCCCAAAGTACAATGTGTTAAATTCCCCAAGTGTCACTACTGAGAAGAGGTAGAACCTTTAAGGGGTGGGGTCTGGTGGGCAGTCTATAGGTCACTAGGGGCTTTTTTTGTTTTATTTTGAGACAGGCTCTCACTATGTAGTTCAGGCTGGCCTTAAACTCACTGCTATCCTACCTCAGCCCTCCAATGCTCAAAGTACAGGCAAGTGTCACCACGCCTGGCAAGGGGTCTGTTCTTGCAGAGGACCATGGCAATATGACGCTTCTTCTTCCTCTCTTTGTTCCCAGGCTAGCAAATGGGCATCTGTACTCCACTGTGTGACACAGTGACTCAGTCCCAGCCTTAAAAACAAGGAGGGCTACTGATCATGCACTGTAGTCTCCAACACTGGAGCCAAAACGAACATTTCTCTTTAAAAGCTGATTATCTCCAGTATTTTCTGTAGTGACGGAAGGCTGACTAAAGTAGTTTAAGGAAAAACTCACTGTTACCAATAACCATTCTTACATTGGAAAACAACCTGATTATCAAAAATCTTTCTTAAGGGCTGGCCTGATAGCTCAGTGGACTAAAGTGCCTGCTTAGGCAGAGTGCAGTGGCTGGGGCCCTGGTGTGCCATGCTGGCCCCGCCCCAGGGGTGCGCTGAGATGGTGACTGAGACAGTGTGGTGGCTTTGGTGGTGCGAGCCTGTTATCCCAGCACTTGGGAGGCTGTAAACAGGACAATCACTATGGGTCTGATCTACATAGTGAGACCCTGAACACCCTGTAGACCCTGCCCTAACTATAGAAGAAAATTTTTTTTCTTAATATTAACATATAAATACATTAAAATATTTAATTTCTTCATACAAAGAATATCAATAAACAAATTTTAAAAATCAGAGAACTAGCAAAAAAAAAAAAAATCCAATGCAATGACAAGCAAAAAACTGATTTCCTTAATGTATTAAGAACTACCATTAGATGATAAGTCATTATAGGAAAATAGTCCAAAAGAACACTAGGCAATGGGCATGACTCATCCACATGGCTGACACTGACAAAAGATCTGCAAATTGCAGGACAGGGTTACAGGATAAATCCTGAGGGGACTTGACTGACCTTATCAGATACAAAAGTTACATTTCTTGTTATATAGGTCTTGCTTTATCTTGGTCTTAACAATCCAGCAGAAAAGTACAAAAACGAGATATAAAAAGTAAAGCCATATTAAGATGCTGAGCTGTGAAAAGCTCAAGTCAACAACTTCTGACATTGCCAGTTCTACAGATAACCCACTACTATTATGGACTACTGGACTATATTGGATTATTTTGCCAAATTCATGTGCCTACATTATTTAAATGACAATGAAATACCCATCTCTAATAAAACTAAACAAAAAAGGGAGATACAAAGGAAGGCCCATTTTGTGTCTGTATATATAAAATAGGATAGATATACAACTACTTTTTCTTAATTCAATGAGAAGAAAGATTTGTACTAATAGTATTTGGACAGGATATCATGTCTGCATCTTGTACTATGAATAACCACTAAGAAGATAACAATATGCAATGTATTAATTATGAAACTGTCCTATTAATCAGTTTTGAAACTGTCTCATTGCTGTTTCTCAATAAAATTAATAAAAGAAAAATAGGCAATGGATAAGAAAAGATAGTTTACAGAAACACAAATGTTCATTTTTAAAGATGCTAAATTTGGTCTGGGGAGATAGTTCAGTGGCTTAAGTGCCTGGCAAGCACAAGGTCCCAAGTTTGATCCCTGGTACCTCAAGCAATAGAATGAAATATGCTGAACTCTACTTATGAACATAAAAAAGAATGAATTTAAAAACAAGGAACCACTGTTTCTCAGTGAACACATCACAGCAAAAATGATCATGGCAACAGGGATAAAAATACCTAGAGCTGGTGAGGGTGTGGGAAAGCGAGCAACAGGCTCACTGAGTCTCACTGGGTGGGATATGGCTGCCACAACCTGCTGGAGGGCAATCTGCCAATACCTTTCTTTTTTTTTTTTTTTTTTTTTTTTTTTGCGGAACCAGGGATTGAACTCAGGCCCTTGTGCTTGCCAGGGAAGCGCTTATTCCACTGAGCCATCTCCCTGGCCCCTGCCAATACCTTTCAATTCACTAACTGCTGCTATATTTTGACCATCAGTTACTCTTCCATGAAATTACGCTATAGAATTCTCAAACAAGGACTCAGAAAATGTATTTAAAGATGCTCCCCCTAGTGTAGGGGAGATAGCTTAGTGGCACAAGTACCTGCCTAGCAAGTGCAAGGTCCTGAGTTCAATTCCTGGTACTAAAAAATAAAAATGTTTCGCCAAGACTGTTTACAAAGTTCAAAAACATACATTATAGAAGTAGGAAGAGCTTAAAAATCTATCTGTAAAATAATCCATTGATTCAGTAAATACTCCAAGGCCATTAGAGAGAATATGGTAGGTCATTCTATGTATGATTATTTTGAAACAATGACTCACATTTCATGAGTTTTTAGTATGCTAGCCACTGTTCTCAGCCTTTTATATAAGTTAATTCACTGAAGAAGTAAAACCTACAAGATACAGGAACAAGTACAAAATAAATATTTCAGGGCATACTATGTACTGAGATTCCATTTATCTCATATGTAGTAATATGTGGCATATGGTAAATATATAAACAAATGTCATATACATGGTATGTATTTACATTAAAGTATATGTATAATCACACACACACATATATATATATATATATGCCCAAAAAATTTGGGAAGAATACCTCTGAAAATGATTTATTGTGATTATAAGAGGAGCTGGGACTAGCGAACTTAGAGAAAAGGAAATCTTTGGCTTTTTATTTATAATTTTCTGAACTGTTTGAAGTTTTTCATCATATATATGGATACTTACATTTTTAAACTATTAATTTGTATTCTCTGCCTCCTTAGACTACAATCTGTTTAGATTTTTCTTTCTACTATACATGTAATATATATGTGTATACATGTTAAGAGTAGATACAATAAATCTAGGTTCAATTATCCATAGATTTCAGCAATATGCTTATATAATATATACTATACTTAATATTATATATTATATTAATTATATAATATACCTCATTAAGTTTTATAACCTAATAAGTGTTATGTGGAGGAAATGTAACAATATAAGAAAGTTTTTATAACCTTTCATAGTAAAATTCTTCGCATTTTCAACATGAGCACGAATTATTTTAAAAACTTAAAAAATCTAGGTGCCAAAATCAGAATTCAACAAGCTTGTGAAAAGCACACTATCTCATTTCCTCCCTTATGGAAGAAACTCCAGAATACAAGGATTTGAATGAAGATTCTCAGGATCAATTGATATTAGATTAATTTAGTGGTAGTTTTAAAGGCCAAGTTTAATTATAAATAAGATCCGAATAAAGTAGAAAATAGACAGATCACCCTTATGTGTTTCAACCTAAACTGCTCTTGTGTAAATCGGCTTTAAAAACGTGGACTGAGGATACTTTCGCACATATGGATAACACAGCTGAGACAAGGAGATGCTTAGTAGCCCTTATCATCACTCTCACAGCTGCCACCTAATAGCCAGCTGTTCTTCCGGGTCTAAGACAGAGCTCTTACATACTTCCTACACATTATTACCTTTCTTTCTCATAATGAATTCATTAATCACTGAATTTATATAAAAGTATAAATATTAAAAATCAATTTCTATAAAATTAGAAACACAGGGCAGCAGATAGTATTGAAATGTACAAATAGTGGAAACTAGATTTATTATATCTGCTCTTAACTTACACATACATACACATAACCACAAACGTGTATGTATTTTGAAGTTCTGGGTATTGAATCCAGGACTTTGTGCACACTAGGCAAGCATTCTACCACTGAGCTATATTTTCAGCCCTACATTTTAAATGAGATTTTGTTCCCTAGGAACAGGTCATACAAGTGGCTTCTGAATAGTCTTCAGTGCCACTGGTTCCAAAGGTCTTTCCTTCAGTTAATCCTTCCTCCCACCCCCTCCCGGCACAGCCACCACAGGAGACACCCAAGAGCATGCCTTCTCTCTGCACTCAGCCTCACATTCCCAGCCCTCTCAACCCTCCAAACCCTCTCAGATCCTTACCTGTCCAGCAGCAGTTCCAACACTTCTTTAGTAGAAGCAAAGCCTCTGTAGGTTGACAGGAAGATGCTGATATAGGTAAAGTCATTGTCCCCAAAAGCTGTCAGCAAGTTCTCGACAAGTTTCTCCAGGGTGCCAGCTTTTATGGTCCTGATCTTACAGGTCTCATATTGACTGACTGTATGTCCTGGAGGCAGCTGGTCCCCTTCAACCTGTATAATAAATTAATAGTTACCATTAGGAACAATTGCTCTTTCAAGTAAAGCTAAAACACTGAAATGTGTAAAGCCACAGCCAGTCATTTTGTCTGTGCTCCTCTTTAATTTCCCTACAAGTTATACAAGGCAATGCTGTCTCCTACAAGTGTTTGCAGTAGGGTGGTGGCCATGGTGGTGGAGGACATACGTATGTGTGTTCCCCTCTCCTCTCCAGAAGTCCAAGGGTTAGTTATTTCATAGGAGCCACATTTGCTTGCACATAATACCATGTCAAGCACTAGGTCGCTGGCATATTTTATCAGAAATGTTTCCTATGATCCCAGGATTGAGTTTTGCAAATGCTATCAATCACTCCCCTTATACTATTCCCAGATAATTTTTTAAATTCAAGTTTAAATACAGCTCCAACAGTGGTGTACCAGAGTCACCTTATACTGGTTTTACAAAGGTGACTGTTAATGGTTGGGAAGATAGCTCAGCAGTGTTAAGCACCTGCCCTGGACCCAGGTTCAATCCCCAGTACTCCATGCCATGCCTTTTGGGCATGGTGGTGCATGCCTATAATCCCAGCTCTGGGAAGGCTGAGACAGGAGGATCACTATAAATCCGAGCTGCATAGCAAGACCCTGTACCAAATAAATATATATGCTTAAACGTCAAGTGTTAACAGCAAAAGGGATGGGTTTTTCAATTGTTAGGGACATTCAAGCTCTAATTCTAAGTCAAGCTTCCTTGCCTTGTGTTAATGTCAGGGTTCCCTTACTAAACAGTCTGTAATCTGATAATTCTTAATGTACTTTTAAAAAAATTCACTTTAAAATTCAAACTCTTATTGAAAGTAATGACTACTTCAATGAGCTAATTTTTCACTGAGTATCGATATGGCCAAGAATTCAAACACAGAGAAAAATCCTTGTCAAAAAACCTGATGAAGTGGGTCCCTTTTCCTGCCAGAAAGCAGATTTGGCAGGAAGCCAGGTTTCTCCCTTGGGAATGGAATTATGTTTCTCATTAACCCAGTCTCTTCCTTTCAGCTCTCCTTTCATTCTGAAGGAAAACAATATCAATCTGCAGTCCGCATTCCCCTTAGTTCCTATTAACAATTTTTGTCCCTCAGGGTTTGCAGCTGTACATTTGGAAGAATCATGTTTGCCCTACCAAAAGGACGGCAACACTGAATATTCAGATTTAAAAAATGATTTTCTGAGTGCCATAAGTGAACATCAGTGACAATGTCATAAAACAAAACAACAGAATTGTTCTTGTGCCTAAAATCATTCTGACAGAAAGGAACAATGTGTGTTAAGGTGTCAGACCATTTTCTTAACATCATTTTCTACAGATTTGCCAAATCCCCTAATGTTCATTCCCTTTGCTATCACAGGATTTTCACGATGTGTGCTCACTTACCAAGATTTTACAAAACAACATCTTAAAAATTATCTAGTCACTACTTGAATCATTTTGAAATTCAATTGTACAGAAGCAAAACACACACACACACACACACACACACACACACACACACACACCCATCCCAATATGCTGCCATAAGGCCTGACTGGAGAAGCTAAAATGTTAAAATCTCATGGCTGCAGAAAAAGATTCAATAGATCCGTAATTGTTTTAAGAGAATTCCGGGCCTGTTTTTGTTTGTTTTATCTTAACAATGCTGAGTTGAAGCATGGAAGAAATCGGGGTGGAGCCCTGGCAGACAAGTGTTCAGCAACTCAGAAAGTGAGCTGAGGAGGATGGAGTCTGCCCCATGGGTTAGCACGCTAACAGGAAACAGCATGATCTGGATTTAATCAAAGACCGTCACTTTACTGACATGATCCTGATACCAACGCCACAAGAATGTTTCATAACTGATGTTTTTGGTCAATCTTTCTGCCATTAAACCTCATATTTTTCAAAAAGAAAATGTCTACTCTGATGAGATAAATGTCTACAACTCTGCCCAAGTAGCCTAGTTGTCCAATTTCCATAATCATCAAGTTTGGCCTAAGTAGGAAAGGAAAAAAAGAGTGTGAGAAATGGAATATGTCTTATTTTAATTATGTTTCCAGTCATGAAGAAATATGCTCTTGCACCTTCTAAAACACAAGCTCTTCACAACTTGGGTGTTTCTAAACTGGAAAAAAAATTCTGCCATAAAAATAATACTTCAGTCACCTGATACTTTAATAGGGAATGAGCTGAGTAAACAACTTCATTATAATGGCAGCAGTATGGCGTCTCTCTCCAAGTCACGATCTGGCTTTGTGCATCAGTCTTCAGGCATCTTGGCCCGAATGGTGAAGTAAATGGTGAGTACTATTATAGTCAGTAACTCCCTAAGAAAACTCTTATCCAGAATTTTATAGAGCTTAACAAGGCACACATTGTTTTCCTCACATTCATCTCAAAACACCAACAGCAAATTTTATACTCTCTTTTCAAAGGCTCTACAACTACTATCAGGCAACAACAGATCAGCGTACTATATAGAAATCCCATAAGCCAACTCGCAAATAAACTCTGCTCATCTCTCATATTCACTGGATGTGTACTTGAAATTTCCTTAACACGTATCTTAGTTACTTTTCACTCAATTCTGACACAAAATACCCAGATACCTAAAGTTAAAGGAGAAAAGGTTTATTTAGCTCACAGCTTATAGAAGTTTCAGTCCATAGTTGGCTGGCTCCAAGGCAGAGTGGTACACAGCAGAAGGGCACCGCATAGGAAAACAGTTCATGGTGCCCAAAAGGTAACAAAAGCAACAAGAGATCTAAACAGCACCTTTCTGCCCTTTTTATTTTATCTAGACTATTTAGGGCAGGTAGCACTCATGGGCTTAATTCCAGGGCCACTGGTCCTAGCATTACACCATGAATCAATTCCAGAGTCACACACTCTAAATCCAGCCACCTCCAAAAAATCCCCACCTACAACCACATGAGGCTTTAGGGGAACAACTAAACATAGTCCATAACACCAGGAAAAGAAAAAAATCCATTCTCTCAGTAGAAATCATATACATAGTGACAAATAGCTGCAAATTATGGCAAAGCAGTACACCTAAGTACAGAAGTATTTAAACAGTGGACATTCAGAGATGTAAGGTGAAGTCTATAAAAGATCTAATGTCTTGATGTCAGCCTCAATATAAGCATCTGCATTGTTTGAACATCTACTTTGGACATGAATTTACTTTTCTGCTAGGTGAGGATTCTCAGATAAAGAATGTATGTTTTACATTCTTTACAACTGTGGACTGAAATTTCTAATTAAAAGTGAGATTTTAATTTCAGACCAATAATTAATAATTGAGTGTATTTTTGGCATAAGTACGTCACATGAAGTATTTGAAACCTACTCACAGGTTCCAAAAACTATTTGTTACTCAAATTTCAAATACAAGTGTGCACCATTTATATGCATCTATGTCTCATACATATAGCACACCTACACCTACACACACACACACACACACACACACACACACACACACACAATCTTCAGGAAAGAAAAACAGTATGATGCTTTTTCAACAGATATTACCTGGTATGGGGGACCTTAGAGAAAATTTACATCACAGAGAACCCACTACACTGCCAGCCCGTAAAGGAGAAATGGAAAATGCATGTGGATCAATCTGTCACCCAAGCAGCAGTTTGCTGTAGTAATAAATGTCTAGAATAATGGTCACCACTTTGAATACCTGTTGTAACTGTAGAGGCCAAAGGTACTAGATTGGACTCGTAGTGATCCTCCTGTTTACAGCCTCCCAAGTGCTGGGATTACAGGCACCCAGCACCACGCCCATTCTCAATCACTGTCTCAGGGTGCCCCGGGGCAGACCCGGGGATCAAACCCCCTGTGGGAGCTTTAATCCACTGAGCTATTTGGCCAGTCCAATCTCATGATATCTCAATAAACTTAGTATTAAAATATTTGTACAAGGTTTTCCTTTCCTGAAGTGTGCATACATTTTCGGCAGACTCTGTATATCAATATCTTCACTCAACACATGTGTACAATTTGTAATGAACAAACAAAAGTAATCAGCACTTGTGTCCACTAAATATTATCATCTCTACGTGTTGGGAACTTTCAAGCTCTTTTCCTGTAGTCATTTTGAAATGCATACTCGCTCTACAACAATGTTTTAGTGCCCATTATCTACCTTCTCATTATCCTCCTTCCCCCATCCTTCCTAGTAACCTCTGATCGCTCCACTTCTATGTGACCAACTTTAACTTCTGTAAATTAGTAAGAACAGGTGGTGCTTGTTTTTCTGTACCTGGCTTATTTCACTTACCATATTGGTGAGACAAATGATAGGATTTCATTCTTTTAGGCTGAATAATATTCTATTGTGCATACATATGACATTTATTATCTATTCATTCATGAATTGCCATTTTGGCTGCATCCATATCTTAGCTATGGTGAATAATGCTGAAATAAAGAAGGAAGTACAGGTGTCTCTTCGATGTAGCCACAGCATTTCCTTTGGGTGTACATCCAGGAATAAGGCAACTTGATTGTGTGGTAATTCTGTTATGTTTTGTTATGTTCTGTGGCATAGGTAACTCAAGTTGGGCAGCCCTATGCTACTTGAGATAGAATGTCTCTTTCATTTATTTATCTCCTTACTCAGCCACACATTAAATAAACAGTACTATGGAGCAGGCACTATTCAAAGTACTAAAAGTATAGATTTGGCACGCAATTTTGACATTCTTGTTGTTCAACCTCATAGGGAAAACAGACATAAAGAAACTATTAGAACCACGGAGGTAGGAAAGTACCTTTTCTTAACCAACGTAAGAGTCACAGCTGACACCTTACAATTAACTACAGGAGAACAAAATATATTTAATCAATGATTCATATGACATGGGAGCCTTCAGAAATGAATATAATGTCTATTTTTTTTTTTTGCTTAAGTTCAGCAAAGAAAGGATATCTGTATAAAAATGTAAATGGGCAAAACACAAATGACC